TTCATGCTAGGATCCACAAGTTTTTCTGTAGACAGTGCTTTGTTTTGAAAATGAGATTCCTTCCTTTAATTCACAGTTTTACTCACTGTTGCCTTCAAGATTCAAGGACAAAATAATTGTCACAGCCTGCTAAGACAAAACCCTTCCGCAAACCAAAGGTGGAAGTACTGGAACCTCTTCCTTAAGGATACTGAAAGTTCCCAAGATCATAAACTAGTTTTCATTAGAACACAAACTCAGAGTTTTTAGGTGGAGGAAATCAAGATCTGCTAGGAAAAAGTTGACTTCAAAAAAAGGACTGAAACAAAATATCCCCTGTGCCAACCATCCCCTTTCTGGATGAGAAAATTTTCCTTCTACCTTGCTGTCCAATCCAAATCTCACTGACTTGCCAAAAACTTTTCTCAGTCTCTTCTGGCTTCTTAAGAAAACATTCTTCCCTTCGCTGCTGACGCTTATCTGTGTACCTGCACCCTGCACCTCCCTGGAGTATCCCTCTCCCTACTCTAGGGCACAGCAGACTCCTGCATCCTGCCCTCTCTGCCTGGTCCACTGTGTGGTCTGGGAGCTGTACCCTGCTGACCATTTTCCTTTCCCGGGAGCAACCAACCTGCTTCTTTCAGAGACTCCTGCTGCCCAGGGAGCAGCAGCCAAGACAAGAAAACAGGCAGCCTTTTCCTGTGTTGCCTTCCTTGTGTATGTGTAAACTGAACGTGACATCCATTGCAAACAGTGCACTGTAACACACAAGCAAATCAGGTATACATGCATACAGCCAGCAAAATTCATGAAGCTCTGGTTAATTAGTAGTATTTTGTTTGGCTAATTTCTTCATTTTGAGAAGAGTGGGAAGGAAAGTGAGTAGTAGATAAAAAGCACACTGAGAGGAAAAGACATATACAGAAGGATTTATGCTGATGCCTTTCTTAAGGCTGAAAAATTCTAATAAGAGATTGGTATCTACAGTAACAGAATGATTAAGTCAGCCTTTAAAGCCCACCTTGCTGGATCTTATTTGAGAATCCAGTTGTATAAATTATGATTCTTTAATAGCTACCTCGTGGAAACCAGAAAAGTTGAGAAGCGATAGCCTGAGGCACCATATAACCTCTGGTTGCTCTTGTTTCTCAAAAAACTCTGCCTAATGGTTTTAATAGCCTGATATGCAGTCATTCGTCACAAATTCAAAAAGTAAAGGTTCCTTGATCTATCTATATAGTATTCATCACAGTTATACCCAAGCAGTAGAGCAAGCCCAACATTTCTGTTTTCATAAATATACGTAATACAATTGACATTTTGCTTTGAACTTGCTAAACTACAGCAATTCCTCAAATTTATGGTTAATAAACTACCTCACATACCAAGACATTTCTTCTGAATGCTATGAATTAGACTTACCGCACTGCTTCTTAATTAGATAAAACAGTGCTACCAGAGAAAACTACTTTGCTTTTAAAAGAAAAAGTGGTCCATAACCCATTGAAGACATGCATGCATAAACAAAGCTTTGTTCACATTTAACATGAAACCAGCTGTCAGAAACAGAGTCAACACTGAAAAGAACTATGATACAAGTAAAATTACTTCATGTGATTTTTTTTCTCACCGGGATGACAAGCTTTTCTGATACAGGATTCTCTCTCTTAATAACAAATAACTTGTCACATACTGTTCACATCAGATTGGTTTTATAAATCAATAGCATCAAATGTTGTTCAGTGCTGGTGCACAGAAAATTATATAAAAATGATTGATCAGTACTTGCAATAAAATACCTTATTTCAATAAGTAAATTCCTTTCAATGAGTTGTGTGCTAATTAGTTTTTGAAAGAGTTCTTCAAACATAAATCTGACTGATTAAAAATGCTCCCTTTTTAGATATTAAGTTATGCCTTCTAATTTTAAGTAAACAAGCTTCAAAATGCCAATAGACAATGCAGATTTAACAATCTATTCCTGATTTATTGGGGGGGGGGGGGGGGGGATCTGATTGGGCCTTAGTGTTGGGTTGTTTGTTTGGTTTTTTTTTAACTCTGGCATACAGAAATAAAATTCAGCCTTTTGATAACCCAAGACTTTGATAAACACAGCTTTCCAACATGAACTCGCTTAATTTACTGTAACAATTGACCACAACTTCAGGAAGGTCACTTCTATTTTCTCCACTTGTAAACTCTGAAACCTATGAAGTTAAATATCTGAAAACTATGAAGTCTTGCATGCAGTTCAAAGAGAGAAGAATACATGCCTAAACGTAACGGCACACGTTTTCCATTTGCTGAGGAAATTGTAATTAACTGTTTTGAATTTCATAGCTGACCAAATTTTCTGCAGCAGAAGTATATTACTAAATAAAGAATACTCTTTTCTAAAGAGTATTTCTCAGTAGACAACTCCACCCCAAGTCCAACCAGTGAATATACCCCTCACATGCAAGTCAGACTAAATATGAATACTCAGTTATTATTCCATTTTTATTGGCCTGCTCACTTGCACGTTTGTGAACGTGTGTGTGATGGGGGGGACAGGGGTTGAACTGCATCATGGACAGTAGGCTTCCTGACAGCTATGGGCCACCTGTTGTTCACAGACCACCACTTTATATTCGCTTTACAAGAAACAGAGAAGAGCCTGTGAACCTTATTTTTCCTCCCAAAGACTTGCCACTTCCCACTCAATGGATATCTCATTCTTTTCAGCTACACCAGATTGTCTTACTTCCTCTTCCATCACTGACACCTAACATCAATAGAAAGAAAAGGTTCCCTCTTTAGATGTAGGATTACATTAACTGAAGATAAAGTCTAAGCTCTTGTGGCAAACAAAAGCTGAGGTCCAGGTATCAAGTTCCTAACCACCTTCTGGATCCAATGTCTTTAAATACAAAAATTTGTCTGGATTCATAAGTCATGTCTCATGAGCGTTTAGTACTAGCTGAAGGACACTGCAAGGTATATATAAATCCCATAAGCATACTGCCTCAAAACCCAGAGTGACAGAAAATTCTGACACAGCTCCATTTCATCCTAGCAGTTGGGATTCAGCGATATACAGCTGAAAGAGGCTGGTTTTCAATGATTTCCATGTCTGGCATATAATCAAAGACATTTAGTAGACCCCAAACCCCAGTGATCAAGACAACAAAACCACACATCCTGGACAGAAGAAAATCTTTACTATTCCTTGACACCAAAAGGTAATTTACATCTGCTTTTCACTGCTCTTGTATTATTTTAATTACTTTTGATTTACAGCAAACCGAATAAGCCCTGTAGCATCCTCTTCTCCTTATTCTGGTACTCCACCTAACAGCAAGATATGGGCAAAAATACTCCATATATAAAAATAACACAATGGCTAAACAAGTGAAAAATATTAATTTCTATTATTATTAACACAGAGATCAAATCTTTGAAAAAATTGTTTTGAAGACTGACCTATCCTCACTACTTTAAAAGGAAAAAAAGTCCCTTGCTGTATTCTTGAATCTGAAAGATGTTTTAATGGAAATTATTGAAAACACTTTCAGTAATTATTTTGGAAACTCATCTTTAGTACTGTCCTCAAAAATGCTGATCTTACATCTGGTCTTTTCAGCTTCAAATATTCCAGACCCTATTTATACTTTATACTTTGAAAGCAGTTCATTTACTAATTAAAAGCACGTAGAATTCTTTCTGTGGAAAAAATAAAAATAAAAAATCGATAGTGTATCAGCATTATATACAACTTCTGTGGAGAAGAAGTAAAGAATTCCCTAACTACTTGAGGCAAGCAACAAATGTTAGGAGCAATTTGGACAACATACCAGGATATATAATATATTGACTTAACAGCAATGATCGCAAGTAACATCTCAGATTCCATAATCACCTGTGTCTCTGCTGACTTCAACCTACTGCTCCGGTTTACAATGACCAATTAACAGTTTCTTCATTTTAGCTTACTGGTTTTAGGAATTAATTATACAGCTGTAATCCACAACTGGGACTACTTGACACCAAACACTATGTTGGGCCCACAGACCCTGACTGTGATATATTGAAAACTCTAAAATAAGCAAAGGTCTTCTGAAAAGGCATTTTCATTAACACAGCGCTGTGAAATCTTCACTTCTAGTGCCAAAAAGTCAATACATCTGACACCACATTTTGAGAACACAAATATTTGCTATGAGTCGGTGTTCACAAGTGACAGATCAAACTTACACTCAAACTCCACTACATAATCATTACTTCCTTCTTCCTAAGAAGAGGTGAATTGGAGATCATGTTCTTTTTTTTCCCCCTCCATGCTCATGAAAGGGGTACAACATCACAAAAACAATTTGCTTCTTCAAAGCTCAAGCAATCCAGCAACAAAAGAGGATGCGGATGGTATTAAGTTATGCTGCTTATGTGCAGAGGTTAACTGTTAGAAAAAATTAAGACAATAAAACTGCTTAAAGAGACCACCATGAGACTGAGACAGGATAGATGACCATTCCCTACCTTCATGCAGAATGTCAGTAGTAAGTTCTGAAACAGCATCAATATAATTTTAAAACTATTTGAAAGACTTTCTTTAAAATAAGTAAATAAATTAAAAAGTGCTTCTTTGCGTAGCACACTTCCTGTTGTATAAAACTTAAGACGTTTCTTTCTTTTCCCTGAGCTTTGCCCTAGTTACAGTTTCCCTAGCTAAGCTTCTAACTACGCTGCAAAGCAGAACTATTGGCCATATACCTGGGCTTGACCATGATCCTTGGCCCAATGAGAGATTGAATCAATCCCAAAATTTAACTTACAGCAAACTAAGAACTGATGCAAGTTGTGTTGGCTGGGTTAGTTCTCCACAGCAGTTCCCCTGGCTAGAGATCACCACAGCACTGAATTTCACTGTCCTTACCCCTCTCTCACCCAAAAGCTCTCTGCGTTGTGGACAGTCTAAGAAGAGATAGCACAAAGCCAGCAATGCCAGCCTCGTGTCACATCACATTGCTTCGGGATTTCCAACCTTAACTATTCTGTGAGGGCAGCTTTTTATCTCCGTGCACCAACTAAGCACCACCACTTAGTAAGAATCAAACCTTATCTTTAGAAACGTTTTAATAGAAACTATACTATATGTTGTGGAAACTACTGCTATAAAGCAAGTTTGTGAGCAGAAAGAGAACAGAAGAAAAAAGACAACACAAGATTGAAAATTAAGATAAGTATGTTATCTTAGATTAACATCTCTTTTCTCCTGTTGTGCAAGAGTGTTGTAGACAGTACACAAACTGAGTTGAGGTTGTAGAAAGGATCAAGGTGGCAGGCAGTAGTTAGCATTGCAGTTTTGGGTATGTGCTCCATACAGATGTGAAACCACAGAAGACAATACTGAAAGACCTTAAAAATCATGTCACTGAAACCCTGAGTTAATAAAAAATTTGGTCTTCAAGGGCTGTAACAGATGACAACATCTTTAAAGCTGGCAAGTGTTCTCTCTTCTGACAAGGACAACTCCATTGTTTAAAACACCACTAAACTAGAAACCCTATGCATCCAGGTAGCTCTACACATACACAGAGTTATTTAATGCTACAGTTTTAGAAGTTATTTTATGTTACAGCTTGTAATATCCAGCTGTGGACTGCGAAATTATATAGAGCATACTAAGGCAGAAAATAAATAGCTAATTAAGCAAAAATGGGCCTTTATTGACAATATTTTTAATTTTGCTTAACCAAGTTTTCCTCCATGTTTTTATTAAAAAACAAAAAGACAAAAGCTTAGTTTGTTGAAGTAGGTATAAAGCTTTCTTTTCCTGAAGAATCATGCTAGGAAGGTTTTACAAGTTGGGAAATCTTTGACAGTTCTTATGTTTTTGACTCTACCTGAACAACTACAGTAAAACACTGACTAATACTGAGAATCAGGAAAATGATGCTTCTATGGTAAATGTAAATTTATATGTGCTATTAAAGAATAAAGTGACTTAACAGATCAAAAGATTAATTTTCCCACCTCTCTTTGTACCCCGTCCAACTATCAACCCATTCCTCCTGCCAGCAGACAGTACAAATTGAATTCCACTGAAATCTATGCTTTTAATAGGCTAATTGACTGCTACCATTCTGGATACTGGTTTGAAGCTATTCAGCACCTGCCTGGAAAATTCATCTACACTGTCTCCTGCCACAAGCTGGGGAGAGGAAAAATAGCTAAGCAATGTGATAGCTAAAGAATACAGCATCAGTCAGTTCTGATTACTGCAACAGTTCTCCAAAATTCCCAATTTTCAAAACTGTGCAAAAATTTCCATATCCTCTTTTTAATCCAAACACTCTTTATTCAAATACCAAACCCAACACTACAAAATGGACTGCATCATGAACTGGCTTAATTTGCTGCTGAAATGCTGATATAAAAAACACTGAAGAACCATAGAAATGCAAAATTTTACTTAGTCGAGAAATTGCAAATTATAGTCAAATAAATAATGACAAAGTATAATGAGCTGTGTACCTGAAATTCAATATTTATAAAGCTAGTGGATCTATGGAAAGAGAGGATCAGAAGCTTCTAACATCAAGATGCTTTGAGGATAAAAACAAAGTGAAGATTAATTTCTTCTCCCTCTTCACAGGGATCTAGCATATTTGTCTTCTGCATTCCAGTGCTTAGCATAGTTTTTGGGCTGTACAAATAATTCTTTCTTTCTGTTCTCTTAACAGGAGTTCAAGAATTCCTTATTTGCTCTGTATTATTAAGTCAGGTAACAGCAGGGATAATGATGCTCCACCCTTTGACCATGAAAGGAAGAAACAGCAATTCACTTACCTGGGAAAACAGAAAGGACAGCCAACTGGAATTAAATGCAACCAATCAGCCCTAATTAAGGCAGATGAGACCAAACTGGAGCATGCTCTTTTACCATCAAGTTTAGATGAACAGCTACACAAGAACCAAATAAGGCCTACTCCTGTGAGGTTTGTCAACTAGCACTTCATCTAATACTCCTCAATATGCTATGGATAAAGAAGAGAAGGACTGCTCTAAGGCATCAGAGCCGTAAGTTTTTAATTACATTTAAGTAAATGACTATTAAAGCACGTTTATGGAAGAGAAAAAGATGCTTTAATCACCTAACATCTATTGCAAGCTTATGCTTTATTTTTACTTAGTTATGTCATCACATCACAGCCAAAATTAAGAGCTCCACTGTACAAGGTAAGATGGTCCTTCCTGAAAAGTTTGCAATTCAAATAAATGAGATGGAGAAAGCATGAGATAAAGAAAGATAATCCCTATTTGATAAGATGAAAATGAAGCACCGCTCCAAGATCATGAGGAAAGAAACTCCTTTAACTAAAAACTGAAACTAGGTTTCTTGAACAACAGAAGAGCTATCCTTTCTTTGTGACAGCTGTTATGTTACATTTCAGATTTATTAGCCACATTAGGAGACTTCAGTTCCTGGAAAAATGACATAAAAATGGGATATAAGTGAAAATACTCTTAAATTCTTGCAGAATCATACCAGGGCAGCAATACTCTGAAGACAGAACTCAAAGCAAAGAACTCAAAGCATACATTAACTATTGGCCCTCTACCAATATTGTATGTGTCACTGCTCCAGATCTACTTACAGTTTGAGATTCAAATGAAGAGGTAAGGTAAGTGAAGCTCAGAAAAGAGTAATTTATCCCAAGATACATCTAGAGCTTCTTTAACAAAAGCATAGGCAAGCATACAAGATCACCTTCTGTAAGAGCTTGATCATCCGAAAAGCACTGCAATAAGGTTTCACTGTATCCAATAAGGTTTCACTGTATGCTCTAGCTATAAGATTAAACCCTGTAATGTAGTTTTTATATTCACTGCAGAAGAGTTTTTCAGCATGCATGACACACTGCACCTCATTTCAGCAGAACATGTATTCTGTGCTGAAGTAGTCTAGGTAAAATTCAAGGAAATGGAACAAAAAAACCCCAGCTCTTAAAGAACTGAGCACTGCTACAATTTTACGACAATCATTTTCACCAGTCACTCATGTTTTCTGCTCCCTTGGTTCACTGAAATGACCTTAAAATGAAAACTAAGGCATACTATAAAATGTTCTTTTCTCCAACAGTCAGAATATTCAGCCTAACAGATACATAACATTAGTCAGCGTCACGTGACACAACTAATTTTTCCTCTCAAGTTATTGCTGATAATTGCACTGCCCCAAACAGTGCAAAAGGGATGCAGAACATTATTTCATACAAAGTGATAATTAATTGTCATATCACTTTAAAATGCCATTTGTCAACTAATGGTAACTGAAAAATTCATTTTTTCATAGCTTCTTAAAATACAATTAAGAACGACCACCTTTCTCCTAATACTTGAATGTCTACAATCAACTCCAAGAGCTTTTGGCAAGCTCTTTTTCTTTAGTTTGGCCATCTGATAGAAACACTTGGACATCTAGAGGCATAATCATTTGACCACAACAGAAAGTCCACAGTAAAAAGTTTCTGTATAATCATAGTCATGCTGGAAGATATGAAAGAAAACAATGCCAATACTCATGTTGCCTTTATTTACAGTTCATCTCCAGAGCCCTTTCAAAGAAACACATTGCTTTCTTGCAGGATTATAATATCATGTATTAGGCAGCAGCTGATATCATACGGAGCGATAGCAAACTTTTGCTTAATACAAATGCCAAAATGAATAAAGAAAAAAATGATGGGCAAGTTGGTGGAAAAAGCTGTAAGGCAAGTCAATTTTTTAATTAAAAAAAATTGTGTACCAGAGAATGTTAATGAGCCAAAAGTCCCCTGAGACCACTTTTACACATTCTGCACTATTTTGATGCCCCTGCTAAAGATAACTGAACTGTTCCCACTCAGACCTGGCTGAAGACACATTCTTTTTTCAACGTCATAGCAAAACTTGAAATCTGAAAATATCTTATTCATCGGGTTACTTTACTCACTATAGCCACTCAGAGTTATCAAACTGGAAGTAGAGAATACAAAATGATCACAAGTCACAAAGTAAAAAATCTCCACAATACCTTTAACTTCTTCATAAATGCTATCATCTATTGGTTCACTGCTCACTTGTCCAACATCGTCATATTCCAGTTCCTCCTCCTCAGGAATAGTATTAGATTCCATATCTATGTAACAGCAGTTTAAAAAGTTAACATTTACTAGAAAAGAATGCATAAGCAGAAATTTACGCAAATTGAACACACAATTCCTCTTCTGGTGCTTACAGTATATTCTGCTTATTTTCTTATAGTGTTCACAAGGAAGAGCTTTCAAGCTAAACAGTATTCTTGGAAAAAAGCAAGAATCTTGCAAAAGCAGAAAAGTCATGTAAAAGCTACATGATTGAGAACTAGGACTTGCTATTCAAAAGTTGGGCAAGTGGGAATACTAGATATACAAACATGACAGATATGTTAATGGACAGAACTACTATCACTAAGCAGCACTGGCAATAAAGGCTACTGCTCTACTGGCTGGCTTACCTTGAATTACAAATTTGACTTGCTGTACCCATTCCTCTGCTTCTTTGGGAGTGGCAGCTGTAAACTATTAAATGTTTATTAATAACTATTAGCAGTAATGACAAAAACACAACTACAATTTCATTAGCAATAAAAAAGAGGGACTGTAGTATTCTCATCACTTCCTCAATAAACCATTAGTAATTCTTTTCACGTCTTCTGGTACTTTTCTTGCAAGGATGCTTCTTATAATGTACAGCTAATTTTGACAAATTTACGTAATTGAAGGAGAGGATGATGGATTTGAAACTCTGATCAGCAGCTGGCAGCTGTGCAGAAAAAAGCTGCTTCTCTTCATCAATGTCAAAGCCAGAACTGATGAACAAAATTTGCCCTTGACAATTAGAAGACACCCATGAATTTCTTTAGACTGCTGGGTACAGTTCTCTTAAAAATGTTCTTGTCAGACTCCAACACACTACCTGACAGCTTAATTAACTGGCTTTCAACTGCAATCTCAGATATTTAAAACTTATTAAACTTACATTCCATATTGATGTCTAGCTGATAGATCTCTGAATTGCACAGCTGATATGTGCCTTTACGTAGATTTTCCTTGCAAAGCCATGACCAATACAATATGTATTTAACACTGATATATATTTTAACTTTTTTTTAATACTATTTAATTCATCCAAGAAATCACACAGACATACTATACAATAGATATTAAAATGCTAACATTGAAATGACCAATAGATAAAGATGATAGATTTCCTTGCTCTTGTCCAAAAAGATAATATTTGAACACATACATACATATTTTAAATCAGATTTTTTTCCCTAATATATTAATATACAATATAAGCAAGCGAGGGTTTCCTTTTTTCATCAAGATGTCAGTGAAAGTTGTTTTACTGAAATGTTAATTTAGTAACTGGAATTGTAACGGCTTTATCAATTTAATTTCAAGTCAACATAAAAAAGTCCAACCTGATAAATGCGCTTATCAGGAGCGGAGATTTCAAAACAGCAATCTTTCTTTGCATCCTTCCGAAGACTATTATTCATTCTGATGGTGTATCCCTCTAAGGCAAATTCACCTTTCTGTTGTTTGTCTGTTGGAGATAAAAAACAAAAGTTAGAGCTTCATTTACAACAGTGAATGTAAGTGGCTCAGCAGGTTATCGTTTACTCAGATTTTGGTTTCTATGTCATGAATTCTACAAAGAACAGGGAGGTTTTTAGCAAAATGATTAAGTGATGCTTCTGGAGATAAAGATTCATTTTAAAGGAAGATGTACACAATAGTACATTTTTCTGTAGGATGCCTAAGGAATTCCACAGGGGGATGTCTGCAGATGGTGGTCTTATTTAGTAAGAAGTGCATGTTATGCCACTTGTATCTAGGGAAAGCCAGAACTGGAACTTGCAAGACATGCTTCCTATAAATCAGTGTGTCTCTCAGGTTCAGCAAACCAATGGGAAAACCTTTCTAGCTCAGAACTTGCTGAGCTCCCTCCTAAACTAACCACTTCACTCAAAAAAATAAATTTCAAACTCCTTTTTAAGCAATTGGAAAAGCTTCTCCTCACATTCTCCCACCCACTTCCAGATGTGCCTCCTTTCCACATGGCAGAAATAAAGAATGAATTTTGTTATAAATTCAGGCATGTGTTCCAAAAGCATTTCTCTCAACACAGCAAATGTTTAATTAGCTAATAAAAGTACTGAGCCCTACCACAGTTTATTATGTAGAGCCATGTGGTTGTTCTAAAGACAATTCAACTTTTCAAAAGTTCTGGTTTATAAAAGTATCACTTAGAACAGGCCTGAGTTTAAATATACTGCATGTTGGGCAAGCTGCACCTGCCAGCTCCTTCTGAGCTCTTCAGACCAAACCCTACACCTGATTTTACGTGCTCTGGCATGTTTTGGTGGATATTAAAAACAAACCAAAAAAGTTAATCAGTTTTGCAATTTCTGTAGATCACAGTACAGCATTCAAGCGAAGATAGGCATCACCAGTCACATTTTGCTCAGGCAAAGAACAAAGTGCAGTTGCAAATGAAAGAAAGTGTCATTAAGTGTGGGGTTTTTTCCGCAGTAGAGAGAAGCATTAATTAACAATAAGCATCAGGCACAACAGCAAAACTACTTTAAGTATTGCTGAACAGAACTTAGGTGCAAATCGAGCATCCATTCCTTATGTTTGTCAACAAAAGGAGGGGACTTCTATAGTAGAAAAACCAGGAAAAACTACAATTTTCAACACAATTTTGTCATCTTTCTGGAAATTTAATAGGAAAGCAAAGCTTTTTTCCACTCCTGAGAGGGCAAAAACTGGCTATCACAGCAACATGGACATCAGTGGACGTAAGGGCAGTCACCATACAAATATTCTTGCTAGTAATCTTACATGCACATAGACACAAATTCTTTGTCCTTCCACCTTTTTATGAACTCTCACCCAGGGCAAGTAAATACCAAATAACACAATTACATGAGAAAATCCAGGGCACTGTTCTATTTTCTCTCCTAGTCCCTTCCCCCACAGTAAGTTTTATTATAATGATACGGTACTAATATTTTATATTTGCTCAATCCTCCACCCCTATATCAAACAGTACCCAGATGCAAAATTCATCGAATCGCACCAAGGCAGATATTAGAAATAATAACTTGCAATAGGTTAACTAGGTCCTCTTTTAATTAAATTCATTTCTGCCTAGAAATTTTGTTGTTCCCTCACTTGTGACCTCAGGGAGAAGATGAAGTGAAACACATTAATTTCTCACTCTCCTGTGCTGGAAGTTTATCAAAACCCTAGAAGATAGGAGCACGCAGACAGAATAAACAAACACCAGGTTCAAAAGGTAAAAACATTTTGTCAAAATAAAAATGAGGCAAGTATTCAAATTTAGTCTCTTGGATTATTTCTGAGACTGCTTCTCTGTGACATGGATGATCCCTTTTATGGCAATACGGTTTTACAGAACTAATATGATCTCTGTACTGGTACTCTTTCTTTCAAAGAGCATTACAGTTAAAACAGAAAGATGCTGTATTTGGCACTGGAAGGGGAATGCAGTGCATGGTATCCATATTGCATTTGATTGTTTTATGGTTTATACCGTCTTTGTCTTCTCTCTCTGAATGCTCCATCCCAGTGCTAATGAAAATTACCTGTATGCACCACAAAAAAAAAATATATATCCTTTACTATTAAATTCTCCCACTGACCTTTATAACAACAGACTAGTCATAGCATTGCTACTTTTGCTTCTAATTGTCTGTGCAGTAAAGTACCTCTGATTAAAGCCCAGTGTAGCATTACGCATATGCTTAAAATGTTGACCATGAGGAAATTTTAAGACAATGAGACACTTCACAGCCCTGACACAGAACCCATTAAAGTTGAGAGAAAGACTCTCAGTATGCATTCACACTCCCTGTGGCAGCGAGCCAGAGATAAGACGTAGTATGTCCGGAGAAATGGCTCCACAAATACAGAATGGCAGGACACAGGTCAGCTATAGCTCAGCTGCATGCTCTGATGGTGACAAGCAATGGAGGTCTACAAATCCCAGTTGCTTTTGCAGAATACACCTTTCCAGGTAGGAGTGGAGACCAACCCCATCACCTGATCACCATGGAGCAAACTATGACCCATGGTAGCTGTTTGGCCAGGCACAGCAGTCAGGTGCGGGCTTGAAGGCAGGGCCACCTTGTGACCAGACTCAATGATCTCCTCGACTTCATTTATCAGGAAAGGCTTGCAGCTAAATAGGTGTGTAGGCAGACTTGGGCTTTCAGTTTAAAGCTGCCATGTGAAGTTAGTGCCACAGTGACTTCTGAGAACTTTCACATTCAGAGTTATATTGTTTATATCAGAAATATTTTCTCGAGACTGTGCTTTAGGGAGGTTTAAACAGTTTTTGATGTTTAAAAACTTTGAAGACTTAAGGATTTCACTTGGAGACTTAAAATTAGATATAACTGGGGTTTATGGCGGGAGCTTTAAAGGTAGCTCCAGGAAGCACATTTACATTACAGAGATTTCACTTTCATTTTGAACCCCCAAATCAGAACTGGTGTTTTGCCTAGGCAGGAATACAACACCGTATTTAGGAGGAACTAGGGAGAGACATGCAGATGAAACACACTTCGCTGAAGAACGATAACATTCTTGCTGCCTCTTATTTTCTCAAGACAGGGCTTCACAATTCAACAACGGGAAACCCTTAAGTTGTCCCAGAACATCACAGAACAGAACTGCAAAGGTATAATACTATCAGTCTTGTAAAAACAAAAAGGATCACGGGCATCATCAAGCATAAGTTGTTCCACAATTAGGTCAAACCTCATTTCAGATTTCAGAGCCTTTCTTTGCTCTCATCTCCTCCTCTTTCCTTCTCCCCATACCAGGCACACAACAGAAAAATAAATCTGGGTCTGTGTAGATCATTTAGCATGAGGAATCTGGAATTGTAAAAAGCTAGTATAACAGAATGGAGAGTCAGGCACTAAGTATTTAAAAAAAAAAAAAAGTCAAAACTAGTACATAGATATTTGAGAGAAATAAATATGAAGGGCTGTATTTAAAATAGAAAAAAATACAGATCTGAATGAAATTTGAGAGCCACTTTAGACATTTTTCTTACATACAAACTTCATTCATCCTAAAAATAGTGAAATGTTGTTAACAACGGAAACAGGGCTAATATTATATCGGGGAAAAAAGAGTCTCAAGGGAAGCAGAGAAAAAGGGCTTTGAAGTAACCTTGCACAACTGAGTCCATGGGAACTTTTAAAACAAAGAAGGGTAAACCTTCAACAGGGTCTTGAAATGATTGGGTTGTAAATTTGAGGCCTAAGGCGATGTGCCCATATTATTAGCACATGTAAAAAGAATTAGTGCATTCTGAGGAACAGAGAGGACTCGGATAGTAGAAAGGAAAGAGAAAGGCATAAGGAACAAAGGCAAACAAAGATTTCAGAGAGTGATAAAGTATTTATAGATACAATTAGAATCTCTAATTTAACTCTCTTCATCTTGAAATTAGGAGCCTGTAAGATCTTATGGTTTACATGGCTTCATGCTAAATGTAGTTTCACATACTTTTCCATATGCAGGATGCCTGCTTTCTAAAAATAGTAAGTGTCAGTATCTCCAAAATGATAATTCCTTTTCCAGCTTTTGGAATAGTCCATTCCAAATGCATGCATACGGGTTCTTCCCTTTTAGATAGCAGATCTGAAATGCAATTGAATTTTTTTTTTTCTCCTCTTTCCTTTAATCTAGTCCTCTGAGAAACCTAACTTAAAAAAATGAAGAAATGGAGGCAATGATTGAAACACACTATTTAGGGCACCAGTTTGTTAAATTCAGACCTTGAGAGGCACACTTGCCATTAATAGTGCGTTATTTAAAAAATAACTGTTGAGTATAAGCAAACTGAATATAAACATTCTCACAGCAGAAGATTCAGTACTCCTTAGATAGATGCCTTTGATTGCCATCACCCTGCTACAACAAAGTCCTATTGAACATTCACAATTCCTGCAGATTTCAGTTATGGATTCTGTCAAAAGTAAAGTCTAAACAAAACAAGGTTTTTTGCCTTTCTTATGTGGTTGTTCAGAGAAGGAGGACTAAGAGAAGGTCTGTAACTAAAAGCAAAATGATAGTTTAACAGCTTTCCATTGGGTTTGTATACCTTTCCTCACTCGTAGAAGGAGAAATTTGTAAGCTTAGCATGCGGCAGAAATTCCAGTCGCCTCGTTAGGTGAGTCACTAGGACAGATTTGCAAACGCAACTCTAACTAGGCTTCCCTCTCCCTTAATATTGTTCAGTCACAAAGTTCTTCAAAAAAACAAAACACAAAATAAAACAGAAACTCTCTTTTGCACAAATAGAAGTAGTCCATCCATTGGCCTGGCCATCACTATCTTACTGTTCAGAGAAACCCAAAATTTTCATGTCCTTGTTAAAAATATTTAAAAAAAACCAACCAAACAAAAAAAACCACCACCCCACACTCAGATTTTTCTAAAAGCCTCTGAATTATCCCCCTCTTCAACATCATATTACTGACAGGCAGGCAGATACCATTTTCAAGTTATAAAAATGAAAATAAATTTTTAGTGCCTATTAACAGGGGAAAAATTACCATGATGTTATCAATTACTGTCTTGCTAAACATTTAGCTGATCTCTCCAGTTTGCTGAGACAGAAGGGCATATAACATTGTGGCCTAGTGACTCAGAAGTAATGAAGCCATTAATTCATTCATTTATAAAGCAACAAATTAACTTTCCTTCCTCACATGTACATTGAGGTCTGAAAGGTTAGCCATACCACCCAGGTGCCTGAGTGCACAGGAACTGCCAGAGATTATATAGCAAAACATTATGCAAACAGGGTACCTAACTCAGGATGCAACTGCACGGAAGCAAAGAAAAGAGAAGGACTGTAAAAGGTTTATGGAAAGAAAGACTATGAAAAGGAGGACCAGGCAAGCTTCTGGAAATCCAAGCCACCTTTGACATTTGAACAGGCTTCTCCGCAATGTTGTGGGCCACATGCTGGCAACAGATATTGCAGCACAAGCTGCACACACGCTTCCTGCAATACCTATTTTTGACATGTAATTAGGTCAAACCTTTAAGCCTTTTTCTTCCATCTACTCCACATATCATTGATCAGGGGAAAAAAGTGTAGGTGATTCACTTAGACCTGTCTATACTGCAGGGATAAATAACACTGTTTCACTATCCAATCCTGCACCAAACGTATGAGAAAACAGAGGAGGAAACAGGGAAACAAGACATTCATTAGCCTGCAGGCATTCACAACTGTTAAAAGAATGCTTGTAATCTTAGGTGAACACAAAGACATACACAAACACACAGTCATTTAGTGTATTTTCAATGGCTTTAGCTTGCACTATATTCTCCTGGACTAGGCCTCATATTTTTTATCATTCAGGTCTGAATAAATGATTCTGAAACTTTTTATTACATGTGTCTGTGAGCTTTACACACTTCCATACTTCTTGCTTTCCCAGTGTAAAAAGGAGAAAGTTTGAAGAATAAAAATTGGTTTGGAAACAACAAACCTACACAACCTAATAAAAAGGCATCCTACAGTCTCACATTTAGCATTCAGTTACATTTACAGTTATATTTAAGCGTGAAAATCAAACCTTGGCCAACAAAATATACACTGCACCAGACACATAATATCCTTCAGAGATTATTCGCCTACATGTCCGGTTTTAAAGACACATAAAGTGCAAAACAAGCCAAGCAGGACCTAGAAATCCCTGCTGCCTCCCTGCATTATGTCCCACAACACACAGGCACTAGCACTCCATTACCCATTAAAAGTGACGCAGGCAGCAGGACTGAGCACATATGGAATCCCCCTCTCCCTTGTCTCTCTTCAAACCATGTTCACATCGACGAGGGGGAATTTTCCCTGTTGTGTGGATCAGTCCTGGAACCTGTCAGAAACCAGGGCCCAGCTGATACAAAACATCTGCAGACACTGCACAGGCAAAGGCAGACCAGCATCATTTAGACAGACACCATCCCAACGATTCAGGAGGTGGCAGCAATTTGCATGAAGCCACCCAAACACACATTTGACCGCTGTTCTACAGTTGGTAAGAACACACCTTCATTTTCTATGTGGTCCAAGTTCTCTAGTGCAGCATCAAGGGTCACAGCAAAAGAAGAAAGGCCCCAATATGACAGCGTACTATGCCTGGTACCACTTCTGGCCATAACAGTGGGAGTGAAAACAGTTTCAGGTTCTTCCAGTGACTAAACGCCAGATCTCCTCAGGATTCTCTCATTGCACACCTCATCCATGCTGACAATCTGCAGCTAAACAGCATGATAAACAGCAGCACATACGTTCACAACCATCAGGACAACAGCTCAGTTTGAACAGCAGACCAGTTTGCCATGGAACTACAGCAATCACTGGTATCCAGTTTCCACACAATGATGGCAATTTGCTTCTGCACTGGAACAGGTACCTTTACGTACTATTGCATCAGAGGGCTGAAGAAAGTACCTCTGACCAGTCTAGAAAAAAGCTTTCTTCTTCAAAGGCAAGTTCTGACTGTTGGTGATCCCAGATGTGCAAGACAAAACGATTCCACCATGCTGTACTAGTTTTTCTGCACTAACAGCACCAGTCACATGGAGGTAAGGCAGAAATTTATGCATCTGATTTATTTGCTTCCTCCATGAGCTACTGTTTGGAGTCCAGCCATGTCTATACAATTCTCAAAAGACGATCCATGGACTATGTGCCTCTCCCACATCATTAGGTTACAGTTAGGAGGATCTTTCCCAAACAATCTGCAGCCTACCAAAGCTGTAAATGTGTAAGCCAAAGCATCTGTCTATAGATCCATGAAGGAGAGAGATCCTACAGTATATGACACTCAATTCCTAACATGACACCAACCTGCCGAGTGCTGGGGAACATGCTTCCATGTATCTTAGCTTTCAGCATAGGTATTAGAAATGACAATGTAGCCTTGATAGTGAGGTTGTTGCAAAAGAGAAAAAAGAAAAAAAGGATGGAAAAAGGGCAGGTCGGCAGTTTTCCTGCCTTAACCCAAAACCCATATGCTATAAAGCATAAATAATCATTAGAAGAGACACAAGGGAAAAAAAATACCCAAGCTTTTGGTTTTTTTTTTTTTTGGCAAAAACTAGCACATGAAAGGACAAAGATTTAAAAACCCAGAACAATCTTTAAGAACTAGCAATATATTCTGACCAAAAAACCTGCCATTTTTAAGCATTAGATAACATATAACTATCTATAAACGAACAGCACAAGATAATTTTCCAAAGAAAGAAATACATCATTACTGACAAATCAGTGTTATGCCACACCTCCTCAAAATTTTTGAAGAAAGATTGTTTATGTTTTGAAGCTTGGTCAGTCTGTAAATCCCAAGAAGAGTAAAGAAGAAAAGGGAACATTTAGCAGATATACTCTGGAAACAAAGAATATGATAGGAAACTGTAGCAAGATGAAAACTGGACTTACAGTTAGACCCTCACTTTATTTCTTTTGTTTTTAAAGAGAGGATAAGTTTAAATGAGTCAGCATATTGAGGAATGAAACAAACTGGACCAAATTAAATTAGTCTTTGAATAAAACAACACAAAATAACTACCTGCACTAATCTCAAGTAGAGTCACACAAACATAAGCAGAAGGAAAAAAGCTTCAATGGAAAGCTGGGCCAGGAATAAGTATTTTTGGGGAAAAAAAAAGACACAATTGCACTTTTAAAATTTACTCAGATATATTTCTGTATCATTTGTTTTATCCTTAAACATCAAATACACTTGGCACACAATTTAAAGGATGTTTTATTTGACTGTCAATTTTAAAAATTCAAAGTGATATCCCAACATTTATGCCAGATTCTTTCTAAACTGGCCATTAAAAGTTAAAAATCACCTTCAGAAGCGAGCTTTAGTCTCCATGACTGGCTTTTAGTTAAATATATTACTGCATTTCTAGCTTTTTGAGAACATAAGCTATTTAGAAAGAAACATGCAACTCCACTATGCAGTTTTTAGACTAACATCTTCCTGGATAGAACCATCTTTTAAAAACCCAGAAGGCACAATTGCTAGAGGGTGTTTTAAAATGAAAATCCTATTTGGACAGAAAGAGCATTTTCTGTCCAGTAAATTAACTGAGTACCAGCGTACTATTAAAACTAATAGCTAGCTGTTATTGGTGCACAAAGTAGCTTTACAAGTACCTTAATCTTTTTTCCTCAGTTTCCCCACTTTAGAAAATGAGCACATCACTTACAGATCTGAAGAATATTTACACATTTTTAAAATTCACAGCACTGTTTAAGAACTACCTATTCTTTCAGAAGTTTCGTTTGCTTTCTTAAAATGACCTTAGATTCACAGTTTCCAACTCCGCTAAAGCTTCCATATTCTTCTGTGCATTAAAAGATCATTTTTATAGTTTATCATAATTATTATAATTACCTTTGTCACTTCCATAATAATAGAAGACCGTCTTACTGATAGCACACCAACGCTTCTGCCATTCAAAGCCGAGAAAACTGTGGTCTGCAATTAATATAATTTGTATTATATCACTTTATGTCATTATTGGACACAAATACGTTACTATACTCTTCAAGGGTGAGGTAAGAGGGAGGAGGAGACAGGGAAGGTGCTAAGGAAAGGAAACAAAATCTGGATATGAAGAAGAGAAAAGTATGGCACTGAAAAGGAAATTAGAACTAAAAATTGGTGGTAAGAAAACAAATGGGAATTTGAAATCAGAGAGAGAGAGAAGTCATGCGTAACATTAAATATAAGGAAATAATGAACAACTTCCTAAATATTTCCTAGAGTTATTGCAGCATTAAGTGGGTATTAAAGTGACAATATAAGATTTATTGAATCAAGGTAAATATTGACTGAACCAAAGCTGAGATCAATATTTGCCCTCTTGAAGGAAAATAAATCTTGATGCTCACTGAAACATGAAGTCAACATATGGTACTTTTACATACGTTCCTAATGTTTTCTTCAAAAATATCTGAAAGTCTCTGAAATATGGCTGACAGCGGACTTTCACAGCATGATTTTTTTAGTCAATAAAGAAACAGGATTTTCTTTTAATACTACAGGAGCAATTACGTGCTGTCCTGCTTTTGCATAATAATGCTTCAATGTTTCAGCTTCTGTTCCATTTTATTTATCACTCCCGTATAAAGTTATTTGTGTGTGTAACATCAAATACCGACACACAGACTTCCCAGATATAAAATATGCACTAGTTTTCACAAAGACAGTTAGACTTACCTTTTCTGCGTTTTTCCAAGTATCCAGCCTTCAGAACAAACTGAAGATCTTGAGCTGCAACAGGAGGAAACTGATTCCCTGAAATAAAAGTAAGTTCTGTAAAGTACCGCTTTTCAAGAAAAATACTATAGTAGCATTAATAAACTTAGGAATTTTACACTCTCAATATGCAGGAGCTACTGGAAAAAATAATTCTAGTAACTACTATGCCAGGTTATTTTAAGTACAAAAACCCTCTAACTATAAACGTCAGAGCTGTTGCTGCTGTCCTCACCACTTTAGTAAGGAAAAATATAGCTGTGTAGCAGGCCCTGCAAGTCTCAGAAGGAAAAATATGTAATTAAACAAGGTACAGCAACTTAGGAAACATTAGTTTGTGTTTTGAACATGGTCTGTAGAGCAAGTTGGATAATGCAAGCAGTAAGTTTTCAAATGTGCAAACAAAACCAAGTATCACAATTCAACACAATGAAATCAGGAACATGGCTTTCAATACCATCTTTGGACAAAAACATCTTGAAACAACATACAAGTTGAGGACCCTCTATTACACCGTCTACCAGATGAGAAAGAAACCAGATGAAGAGACGATAAAAGGTGATGCCTGCTGCTGACAGACATTGCCTGATTTGCAATATGACAGACAAGTACTGCCTATAGGATCTATAAGGCGATACTGGATAGACCAAAGACGTTGCACAGAAGTCTACAAAATTGTTGATCTACAGATGCTAATTTTAGATTTGTAGAACATGGCTGCATCTGCAAAATGGTAAGTATCTTCCACTGTATTTTTCTCCTTTTTCTCAATTGCTAATTCATAGCTAGAAGCATGAGACCGACCAGTCAACCCTGCCTCAACTTAAAATAGAAATCTACATGTTAAAAATTGCATCTTCCATCCTGTGTCCTTCCCCTCCTAAAACAACAGAATTATGATTTTAATGGAACTCCCAGTATTCAAAACAGAAATATGCTAGATATGCCTAATGATTAACATGGATATACACGTCATACTGTTTACCACAAGCAAAAAAGCAGAACAAAAGCTATTCCTGTGCTGCTGGTTTTTTAAGTGCATGTGAGCATCACAGTGAAGTTCCTAGTACTTATTATCATCAACTATTCATAAGAGTCACTGTAGGCAGGTGGTGAGTTTACACAGCAGCAATTGGTCATCAAAATATATGTAATCTCATTAAGTTCTACCAATATAAACATACAGAAAATGACTGATATCAGCAGACAACCCCTGTACTGAAAAAACACTTTAAACTATGCACAGTGGGTTAAAGATCAATTGTCTGATCTTGAACCAAGAACACTGTCTCTGGAAGATGATGCCAACTTCCTGCACTTTTAGGTTAAAATAGAATTTTTTTTAAATCGGTGTCCACAAATGAGTTGGTTTATGGTAGTCTTATTTAAATACAGTTGTGAGAGGAAAAATGCAAGAAAAAGAGGTAGAAACTTGCAGAGAATGTTATTTTTTTTAAAGTATGAAAATACTTAAAGTGAGCATGCATTCCTTAAATAATACAGCTGGCTTTTTAGACAACAAAAGATTTTGTTGGATACCATAAGGTAGTATACAAAATTTTACATATATTGACATTTCCATGGAATTTTTTTTATTAATATTATTTTTAAAGATTAGGAGTACACTAGTTGTTATTTCAGCTTCTATGGAATTCTTGCTACTGTGTTAAAAATATGAGAGTTATTGGCTCCATGTACATACATTTTAAAATGCTGCAGCTGTCTCCCCTCGCTTGATGATATGCAATCACTGCACAACGTTAAATGAGAATTTAACACAAAGGCACTCGCTGGCTGGTACATGGTAAGTTTAACAGTTACTTTAAAAGATGATCTAATGATGATATTATGAGTGGGGGAGATGAAGAGTTTTACAAATATACATAGTGTGCTGCTTTATATTGGTCATTGGGAGGCATCAGTGTGCAACACTTACAGCTTTACCTCATCCAGTAGGGCTCATTTTAGAACAGTGCATTCCCACAGATGTGGAAGACACAAAACATAATTAAACAAACAAACAAAACCAGTTCACTCTTAAATTTTTTAATTTAATAATTTCAACAACTATTTGTATCTAATTTTATACATTATTGTTTGCATCAGATTGGTTTTTGATGAGAAAGCCTGGCAAGTGATCATTTAGTGAACAGTCAAATCATATGGAACACATAGTCCCAAACAAGCGCATACTTTGGGGACTCCTTAATGTTATGCTGCCAATAGGCAGAAGCTTAGCTGAACCAACTACTTCAGAGTGTCAAAATTGCACTCCCAGTTTTGCTGCTTCTGCTGAGACAAGTCAGGATAAAATTGATGATGGCATTTTCTGAAACTACATTTATTTTGCATAGGGCACCAAAAGCTCATGAGGAAAAGAACCTGCATGAAAAAAGGCAGTCTTCCACTGTTCCGGTGATGCTGCAGAAAAAAGTCTTCCTCCCACCTTCAACCAGTAGAGAAGCCAGTTTCTTTTCCTGTTCCTCGAAGCAACTGAGGCAGCAACTCCACAAAATGAGCAGCAGCTGGTCAGCCCCACTGCTAATCACAATCTGTAAGTAGCTGAAGCAAAACCAGATCGTAGGCATATTATCACCCTTCTGTCAGAGAAGCCTGGGAACCACAAAATATGGTGGAACTTCAGTGCAAAGGCAGGAGAAAGGGACCCAATTGTAATATCCCAAGACACATACAGCTGTACATGAAAGAAAAAGCATAAATCTGGCTAAATTCCTTTTCATTCCCCTGTACATCCAGAAGAAAGGGGAGGGAGAATAAGTAGTATGAAAAGTATAAAGGAAAGAGAAAGAACCACCTCCTCTCAGAGTCTCATTAACCACAGGTGTTGTGCATATGTGGCGGGAAGAAGATATACTCTTACCCCTTTACTGGAACAAAAACTAGGAGGGAAAGAAAGAAGAGAGAATAACATCTTCCTTCCACCTACTGCCTACAGCCAGCATGGAAGACTCCTAAACTGTGTCACCTTTCTACCTATCTGCCACTTTTTCATTGGTTTACTCTCTTGTCCACATCTCAAACAGGATTTAGAGTGAACCGCAATCCCTAGATGTGGGTCCTCCCAACTGAAAGCTTGGGATTTGCATAACAGGTTGGTTTTTGCAGTTGCTTTCCATCCAAATGCAGCTTCCCCATTCATTTGAAATGGATCAAGCTTTGCACAAATATCCTAAGAAAAAGTACCACTAAAGCAGCACTTTATTATAGTAAAGCAGCATCTATTTACATTACACTAGCAGCCGAGATCAGAGACTCATTAGTTGACTACTGCATGGGACTTTGAATAAGACAGCTCCTTCTACAAAGAACCTATTTAACACAGAGAAAGCCTGCCAAGAAAGAAGGCATTACTATTTTTTTTAAATAAAGAAATGTGAAGCGAATTAAACAACTTGCTTCAAATCACATACCCCTTTAGAATTTAAAGCTCTGAATTCCCAAATATTATATTCCCCCAACACATCTTCAGGACAAGGAAAATTCTTCCCTTCCCTCACGGATGCAGGTAAAATGGCCTGCATTTCATTTTCTTCTAATTTCACAGGAGATTGTCCACTATAAGAAATGAAATGTAGAGATGCAAGGAACTTGCATCCTAGGGATGCAAAATAGCACCCCCGGTATCAACTTTCTTGGGTGCCTCTGTTTGTTGCTCAGATACTTACGGTTAAACTGACTACCAGATCAGAGCAAAATTTCTCTCCCAAAATCAGACCAGTAGAGACCACCATGTCTTCCTACCTACTTCCTATCCCTGTATGGTCATTTCCAGATATGTCTCAAGGATTTAGAAATAAAGATGTTAAAAAGGCCCATAACCTTCCCTGGTTTCTCCTTTGGTACACTGTAGTTTCTGAAGCCAGTTTTAAACACCAAAGAGTAAAGTGGCAGTGTAAGTCAAGAAGTGCTCTGTGGCTTGCAGCTGTGTGTGTTTACAGGTGGAGAAAGGTACGATTGCTCCTGCATACCCTTCCAGACCTGATTTTTGCTGTATCATTGCCCTGACAGTGGTGGGCAAGCACAGAGTTGAGGATACAAAAAAAAAAATCTCCGTTCCCTTCCTGAGTTTCTACCTTGCAAATAATGTCTTGAACCTTATTCTTTTGATGAGAAAATCAGGTCAATACTACCCAATATTTGGGGAGATTATTATCTTGCATTCCCAATATACAGTATAAAATGAGGGAGGTCCATCTGCTTAACGTTAAAGGTCTTCCTTCTTTCTTGACCACCCACTCACAGATGAATCTCCCAGAATAATTCCTCTTCTTATCCTGGTAGGAATTAGTTCAATATAATCCAAACTAAAATCTGCAAGCTATGCTCCACATGCATATTCCCAGACTGATGTGTACAAAGGCCATCAAAGACCAGATCAAAATATTTATGAGGCCTAAACCTTCAAGTTTTAGAGAAAAGTAAATTACACATATAATGCACCAGGCTCTTCCTCTTGGTTCTAGGCACTCTTGTGCCAAGTGAGCAGCTGGCAGTTATTATAATGCTACTGCTGCCAGGCTAAAAATTCCTCCAGTGAAAAGAAAGTGAAATGCTTTCACTCAAGCATAAAGCCAGCTTTTCTACCAGTCATGCTTTGACTTCAGAAAAACATGAACAATATTAACGTAGGTGTATTAATGTACAGGTTCCACCGCACAAATCCCACAAATTCAAAGCATCTTGTGACTTCAGAAGGACCCCAGACTACAGCTTATGGGATGGTTACAATTTTTTTGCAACTTGGTAATCAGTCAAAAGCCTGAATGATGAAGTTTACTCCCTACTACAATAGTGAGTTTGGCCCATTACTTAAAAACAGTTTCATCAGTGTCACTTCACATGAAAAAGCATGAAATTTAATCATTATGCATGGCATTTTGATTTTTGGAGGACCCAAAGGTGTTAAAATTTCATTCTGTATACAATATAAATAAAACAAAACCAGGCTGTATTATTCTGCACCATATACCAATAGGAATATTTTTTTATTTCTTCAATGTGGGCTAAGGGATACATAA